TTTGGAAGAGGTTCCTCGCAGGCGAATAATTTCGTGTATGAAATCTCGATATTAAAAGAACATACGTGCATATAATTTCCTGCATTCTTTACTGATCTAAATTTAGCAATCGTGTAATTTTTGCAATAAAATTTTTTTAACCTCCAATTTTAAGTGCAATAATTAATAAGTGAACATGGTGTGAATGCCAACAATTTGCTGACGACATTTTCATGATGCAACAAATGGTTTCCTTCAACTTGGAAAATGCCATTGTAATGCATGCCAGCACTTAAAATACCAAAATGTATGCACATTAGGGTGGTCAATAAAATATCAACAGCATGGGGCATCCATTTACTTTGTTCTATGGTAAAAATTAAAGACATCCACGAAAATTTAAAATAAAAAAATGCATATGTATAGGGGTCGCTGCCATGGTTTGAATTTTTTTTTATCGCAAAATTTCACAAAATTTTAACTTTGACCAGCAATAAATAATTTGTTTTATTTGTTTTTGTTATTTTATGGCCTTATAACAATAATATTCAACAATTTTTATTGAGCTCGAGGCCGTTTTTAATGAAAAACTTATTGTGGAAAAGCAACAATAATTGAAAAAATGGTAGAAGTGATAGCTATTTCGGAAATCACCACATTTCCTCATCAGACTTCTTTCAGTAGGCTTCGAACCGACGATCCCACTGACTCAGCCAGTTGCCTACTTAACTTAGCACAGTACCATTTTTTCAATTATTGTTGCTTTTCCACAATAAGTTTTTCATTAAAAACGGCCTCGAGCTCAATAAAAATTGTTGAATATAATTTTTTTTTTTTATTTATATGAATAAGTTCCAATAATATGCCATATTTATCAGATTTGAAGTAAAAGTAAAACTTTTTCAAACCCTGGTAGCAACCTTTAATATGTGTTGAAAAAGTTTTGAAATTTTCATGGATGTTATATTTTTTACTAGAACAAAATAAAGAGGTGCCCGATACAAAATTTAGATGTTTACATTTTTAAGGACCACCCTAATGCACATACTTAGATACATATGCATGGATTTGCATATTTGTATGTACTATATGTAAATAAGTGCGAGTATATTTTAATGCGATATGAATTCCATGTGAAATTGCTTACTGTGAAAAGGGGTGAACCAAAACAACCAATGCACAGAAATTTTCTCTACATTTTTAACAACGCACTGATTTCGAAAAAGAGCCTCGGAGAGGTAGAGAATTTATTAAACTGCTCAGGAAAAAATATTGTCTTAAAATTCCACTTCTTAAGCGGAACTGTAACCACCTGAGCGATTTTGCCGACAAATTAATTAGTTTTGACGGTTTCATTTTTTTATTGGATTTTGATGAATGTTGGACTATTGCGTGGAGTCAATTATTGAGACGAAAAGTTCATCATACTTGAAGGTCATTGATTTCTAAGCAAAAAGAAACGTTTTAAAATAAAATTAAATGTTTTCATGCCACAGCAATATTTTTTATTGGTTTTCAAAATGTAAGCGAATCTTTTGTGCCACCCCTTCGAAATGGGCGCACACTTTCACACATACATATGTATATATATTTATACTTTATTTGTACTTTTGGCACATCCTATTTATGTATTTCTGCCGAATGTTTACTGTCCAATATTCACACTTTGCATATTTTTGATTGCGATTTCCTCTCAACACCTCTAGATGGGGGAAAATAAAAGCATCGGCAACTGGTATATCGAAGCGCAAAATATTTTTAAAATCACAAGGCCTCAATTAAATCGCGAAATTGTAGTAATATACAGAACATATGCATATGTAAATATGTATGTAGATACTTTTAAATACAAAATTTTTCGGATATGAGTGTATTCCCTGTAGGAAAAAGTGGTATCAGGATAACACCTAAGTACGGGTATTTAAATTAAATTAAATGAGAAAATAAAAAACACAAAATTTAAACAGTTTTAATTTTTAACAGTTAAATGTAATGTAGTGTAGCGGATAGCATAAGCATCTGTATTTTTAAGCACTTTCAGGATATTATAATTAGCTCTTATTGACGATATTGTTACTGTTATTGTCGTTTTTTTTTGCAAAAATTTCTGAATACATATGCCTTCCTTTTTGTTCACCATCAATCGGCATTTATGTATGCACTTATGGAAATAAAATTTTCTTGAAATAGACACAGTCACTTGTTTGCTTCGAGGGTTGCATTAACGCCAACTTTTGCATATAACAAGTAATTTTTAGCAAAAAAAAACGACTTCAACTCCCATATAAAAAAAAAAATATATATATATATATATCTCATGATCCACTGATCGGATCTCAACCAGAGTAGTATGGGACCACCTCTGAGACACTACCTTTCCGATGCAAAAAGAATTATCGAAATCGGTTGACGTGGTCCAAAGTTATGCGGTAACATCATAAAAAAAAAAATATTCCGACGAACTGATAACCTCCACCTTTTTTGGAAGTCGGTTAAAAATTGTATGGAAATGAAAAAGTACCATAGAGGAAAAGACTGTTCAACAGTATAAATAAATGCTAGTTTAATGAGCTTCAAAAATAAGAAGCAGCTGTGGCGCGCCTACTTTTTTAACTGTATACTACATTAGGGTGGCCCAAAATAAAAAATATTAAAATGTTAAGCTCTCACTCCCTAGGATTTCTCTTAATGGAAAAAAGAACAGCCTTTTTTATTTAAAACAAAATTTTATTTAAAACTATCTCAAAGCCCATGAAGATTTCCGTGTACATATATTATATATGGTATATAATTCTTGAAAATCAATATTTTTACTCTATTTCTCTCCGGGAGATTTTCAATAGTAAAACTCAATTGTTTATTTTACCATTTTTTAATGCTAAATATTTTTAGGGGGTCTCCCATTGCATTTTTTGAGGTTTGTGGGAGTTGTATAAAAAATGGTTAGTGTTAAAAAATGGTAAAATAAACAACTGAGTATTGTTAATGGAAGTCTCCTAAAGAGAAACAGAGTTTCCCGATCGAAACATATTGCTTTTCAAATTTGATATACCGTTTCTACGAAAAAGAGATTTTCCCCATATAAAATACATGGAAAACTTCGTGGGATTTCAGGCAGTTCTAAATATAATTTTCTTTAAGAAAAATTTATAGCTATTCTTTTTTCCATTTAAAAAAATTTCAGAGGGTGAAGGCTTAAAATTTCAAAGGGTTTTTTGGACCACCCAAATGTACAGTATATGCGTGCTGGCATAGCCCAAGGCAAGCACAAAGCCGTCGACTCTTTTCTATGAAAAGAAGCGACTTTGATATAGAATGTGTATAATTTAGAGCGAAGAATTTTTTTAAAAAATAGATCACTATTTTCAAAAGAAACGAAAATTTTAATGGAATTATTATCAAATCTACTACAAAAGTGGGGCGAAAATACTTTATGGTTCCTGCTGAAAATATTCACATTTCATCGTATTTGGGCAGTGTAGATTTCATTGTAGAATTGGTTTAACGGGGATATCTCCCCTGTTGAGCGTCATGTCTGAGGACGAGGCCTTGCAAAAGTCATAGATGCCATTTTCAAAAAATTAGCGATACAGAATTTATGCTTTCCATCACATGCATGAGAATATCGTCCCGTTTCTGCCTTAACCACGTATCTACAATTTTTGGGAAAACTAATATTACCATTTATAACAGCTGTTTAAGCGTCACACTATTTCAAAATAGAACAAAGACTTAATGAGGGTGCTTACTACTGTTAGTGGAACCCGAAATATTAAGTAAAAAATACGTTTGTTGTATTCTAAGGGAAGAAATTAAGCATTTTTTCTTACACTCTCTAAAGGTTAAGGCAGAAACGGGACGATATATGCATTTTTTTTCTGAACTCTCTAAACTTTATAATGAACCTCGTCCACCCCTTTTCACTAAAATATTGTGAGAGCTTTACATATGTACATATGTACATAAAGCTTAACTCCATAATTTTGACATGGTTTTCTTTCAGCGTGTGCCAATCTATCGCTCGAACCGGCAATACGCCAAAAACTAATAGCACCAACACGCCCACTACCCACCTGCCTCTCTTGGCACACTCTCGGCTGCTGTTTCATTTCAATTTTCACCTCACAAAGAATATCTTAGCCATTGGCAGCGTTTATAAACAAATTGTTGCTCAAAAGCACAAAAGAAAAAAAAACGAAAAATAATAAATTTAAATTTAATTTTAAATAATTTGTTCCGTCTAAGATTGTGTTATTTTTATGTACTTTACTTCCAAGAAGTGTTTATAGTTCGCTGCGCGTTAGACACAAATGATTTTAATCAGAAAACGTAAACACCAGCGAAAAAAAGTTTAGTAACATTAAAGAAAAATTGTACTACGCAGCTTCAAAACACATTTAGGTTCTTTCCAAAATCGTACGAGTGTGTATCTAGTCTACATATTTCTTCTGGTTTTAAATTTGAACGAAACTGCTTGGGTTATTCTCTCCCTTTTAGCCTCATTTTGCATTGCCACATGTTGCAAATTAAGTTTCTATGCAAATCGGCAGCATGAAGTTAAGCGTAATACCGAAAATCTGTTTTCATTTTTGGTAGTTTACTTGTAAAGGCTCCTTAGCTTACTGCAAGACATGTGTTTTTGCTTGTGGTTTTTATTTTTAGGGATAAAAATATATGCTCATATATTTTTTTTTTAACTTCTTCAATGCCACATACAGAAGTGTTGATTATTAAATACCAAGAAGAAGGGTCTTTGAAGATTATTCTATATTTTTCATACTCTATTCGTTTGGTTGAACATTTTTTTTTTGCTAAAGAATCATGAAAGGCCACGAAAAGGACTGAAAAGCTACCAGTTAAAATACCACCCAATCCAGTAAAAAATCTGACAGAAATTAACTTATACCAACATTGCATAAAAGTATTGTCTTGAAGCGCTATTTGGATAAGAGAATCTTTCTCTACCAATGTTACAATCATTGATTACCTATTTCTTAATTTATCATCTTTTTCTCTTTCAGATGTTGAAGAATTATCAACAAAATTGATGGCAAAATTAGCGGAGGTACAAAGTATGGAGGGTGGAACATTTTTCATTGGCAATGCCGATGCATTAGGAGTACCAAGTACTTTCCAGCCGCAGCATGTACTATTACCGGGTAAGTAGTGCGAAAAATATATCGCTGGCTTAAAGTCAAAAATCGCTAAGTTCAGGTTTTCAAATTTTACAAAAGGGAATAAAAAACTTTCATACTCATTTTCTTCAAGCAAGTTTTTGCAAAAATGTTATTACAAGATTTCGCGTATCCAAACTAAAACCACTTAAAATTAATGAAATTACGCAACGCTGACGAAAAAAAACATTTGTTTTTGCAACTTTTCACTCAATGCACTGAGTGTCCCCGAATACTTCGAAAATGGCGTTCGTTCACTTTTAGCATATGTCCTTAAGGAAATTTCATAAAACACCGAGAGGGAATAATCTAATGATGGCGTAAAGTTGTCAATATGTAGTAGTTTGCAATAAGATAATGCCAATAATTCCATGAGCCGGCCGGAATTTCGGCTTATACATATAGAGCTTTTGCATAGATTGCAAGAAAAAAAGGAATGCTCATTAATTTTTTGTGCCTTTATAATTTGGAAGGTTAGGAAGTTTTTTGTTCTTCGCGCTTAGGTGTTTACTATCAATACAAAGATCGGTATAACTACATGCCTAAATCTATACATAAATTCTTAAACGCACATCAACAGTTCAATTCTAGGTAAAATGGTGGAAAGCCGTTTGTAAGACAATATAAGGACAGTAGGCAAAATAGTTTGAAAGATTTTGTTTATTCTGGCAAGAAATTCTTACAAAAAAAGCTCCCTTGCCAAGTTTCCCGGTAAAAAGCTCTAACAGCCGCAATGGGCGAGTGAGCAAAGCGCTGGCGTGCTATTCGAGAGACCCGAGTTCGAGTTATCGGGCAGCGGAATTTTGGTTTATTTTTTGTTTTAATTACATTTTCTTTTTATTTGTATATTTAATTGGCATAGAAAGAAAAAATATAAATTTTTTAACTTACTTGAATTTTTAGAAACTTGTTTATGCTTTAATTTTTATTTTTTTCTTTTTCTAATTTTTATTTTAATTTTAAGTATTACTGCATTTAAAATAGTTTTTTTTTTAATTTTTAGAAACCTATACTTTTTACTTTGTTTGATTTAATTTTCTTTTAGATGTTATTGTTTTAAAAAGCAAAAATTATTCTTAATTTCATTTAATTTATTATCTTATTCCATTTAAATTTTTTAAATTTAAAGTTGTTTTGAATTTATTTTTTATTGTTTTAACAGGAATTATTTTTAATTTCATTTAATTTTTAGAAGCTTATTTTATTTTATAAAATTATTTAATAACATTTTTTTTTAATTTAATTTAATTTTAATTTTCAAAATATATTATTTAAAAATGTATATATATTTCTAAATTTCATTTAATGTTTAAGAACTTGTTTCGTTTCTTTAATCAGTTTTTTCTTTTCTTTTTATTTAATTTTCTTTTAATTTTTAGATTTTCTTGTTAAAAAAAACATATACCTATTTAATTAAATTTTTAGAAACTTATGCATTTAAAAAATTGTTTTCTAGCGTTTTTTTCTTTTTTAATTTGATTTTCTTTTAATTTTTAGTTTTTATTGTTTTAAAAAGAAAATAAATGTTTTAAAAGACAAAGAGAATAACGCTAAGACCTCCTCGTTGGCACCTCTTTCAGTTAGTCTTTCGACTATTGTCTTTTGAAAGACTGTGGTGACCGGTGTTGCCAGAAATTTTTTAAAAAACTCAAAATTTTCGGAAAAAACTATATTTTCAACCAAAAAATAAGAAAAAAATAATTCATTTAAAACAAAATAGCATAAACCTTTTAAATTATTCTTAAATAAACAAAAATTGACTTTATCAATTTCAGCATTTAAATCACATTTTGTTTTAATAAGTTCTGTCTCAATATTTTCGTAAATTGCTTATTTTATTTTTTGTAGCATTTAATTCGATACCTCAAATTTAGTAGCCCTACATTTTTTTTAAGAAATCTTTAGTTCTCGAAATACCAGAGTGCTTGAATTTCTAGTTTATTTATTGTTTTATTCAAAGTTTTTAGGGGAGCTGTGGCCACGAGAAAGTTCACTCCATTTCGCTTCTGAAACTGTTGAGTTTCATTATGGCTTTAAAGCTACACGGGGTCCTGTGGTGAGTTTTGAGGGCACAATAGACCCAAGTGTGTATCCGTTATACCTATCCATGTATCTAAGCTTCATTGCCCGACTTAGGCGCTACTTTTTGTCATTTTGAAAGCAGATGTCAAAAACTAAAACATCAATGGCCTTATTCATAAAAAAACTAAGTAGTTTTAAAAAGTTGTATAAAGTGTCATTTTCATACAAATTTTACCTTACCAATAATTCCAAGTACGTACTATGTGCTAGCTCTATTGATAAGTTGGCTTTGGAGCGTGGTCTAAAACCATGCGCGCTGTGCAGGTAGATTATATTTTTCAACTTTGCTCTCTTTCGCCTTCAACGTCTTATGCAGCGGGATGTTAAGAGTAATGTACACGCCACTTGAGTTTGACAATGAACAATAATTGAAGTGCTTGACTCTTTTTTGACTTTCCTTACTAAATATTTGGTGTATCCCAAGGAGGGCCACATGGTCTCAAGATTGTATTGTTACATGTGATGGGCTATGACCGTTGAAGTACTGAGCGTGTACAATATGGGTACGTGCATGCACATTAGGGTGGTCCAAAATAAGTAAAGTCGGAATTTTAATGCTCTCACCTCCTAGGATTTTTCTATATCGAAAAAATTTTACCTTATTCTTTTATTTTGAAATTAATAAATATTTTGAGGTCGCTCAAAGTGCTCAAAGTTGCCCATGTATTTTATATGGAGAAATTGAACTTTTCGTAGAAATGGTATAGAATTCTTGAAAATCAATATATTTCGATCAAAAAACTCTGGTTCACCATTTTTTTAATATTAAAGATTTTTTATTTAACCCCCCCCGTTACATTTTCTGGCATTTTCTGGGGGTTTTGGCGGACCTATAAAATATATAAAGAATTCCATACCATTTCTGCGAAAAGTGGCTTTGAGCGCTTGAGCGACCTCTAAATAGTTTTTGATTTCAAACTAAAAAATATTGGGGTAGATTTTTTTCGATATAGAACAATCCTAGGGGGTGAAAGCATACAAATTCCGACTTTACTTTTTCACATGCATTTTCGGACCACCCTAATGCAAATACATTCATAGATTTCTAACACGTATGTACATAAGTAGAATCGAATGTCGAGATTAATTGCTTTGGTGTTTATTTTATGAATGACATTAGTTAGAGAACACCCGCTGTTCTGGGTCTGAAAGAAATCCTTCTTTGTGTTATTAGCTGAAGGTGTTACTGAAATCTAAAAGAGTGAGTGCATTTAATGCATTTGCGTCTTGGATATACATAGATACATATGTATGTATGTACAAATATATCTCCGAGCTATTTCTGCAACTCGAGAAGAATAGAACATGAAAAGTGTTAAAATTTGCATTGAAATGTGTGTTGATGAAACGAAAGAAAAGCAGCAGAACCTAACAAGATTCGAATAACTAAAAGTTAAAAAACTTCACTTTACACAAATGAATTAAAGAACTCTATAAATAAATATGGACAAAGTATTATATGACAATTATGATGTGCGGCTGCCATACGAGACACGCCGCCAGACGCATCCATTTGCGTGCGCCAGACTTATGTCTCCGCGAACGATCAGCAGTTTTTCATCTCACTTTTTCGAGTTGTTTTCTTTATTTAGTACTGGAGTCACAGAAGTAAAAAACAAAACGAATGCCAAGCTATTAAGAAATATGCAATTCACAAGTAAACTCTGTTCAGGCAACTTTGTAAAGTGTTTTGTAATTTATTTTCAGTGTCCGCTAATAAATTCGAACCCCTTTTAAAACATAAGTGTGAATGTGAATAGCTTTTTCATGTGATTTATTAAGCTGTTGACGCGCCAACATCTTAATAAAATAATCCTTAAATGAAATTAAAAAATAACAGTATCAAGGTTTAAGGTAAAAATA